CCCCCCCCCCCCCCCCCAGATGGTCGAATGCGGTTGGCGTTGGCGGCTGTCGGTCGGGAGAAAGTATCCTATTATTGTGTTATCTGTATTAGGCCGAGTATTCGCACTACGGTTCCACGTACGGCTCAGGTACGAGTGATGATTCTCGGAGAGCGGATGCGAGTGCCTGTAGTCGATGGCATCACACATCTATCACATGTAGGCATGTAGCCTGTAGGGGGCGGCGGTATTGCATCGTTCGAATGCTGCCGTATTCAAATTCGCATGTAATTCATACGATACCATCTCCATCCACGACGACGTAATCGTCGTGTGTACATTGGCAGTACTGACGGTACTTGACATATGTCTTCCTCCCACATCGGCAAAGGTTTCCCTCCCTCCCCAGGCATACAAGGCATCATTTTGAGCCCAATGGGTCCGGCGTTTCACCCGACTATCCAACCAGCAACAGATGGCTGGGGCGTGCGATTGGAGGGTGCAACGGATTTCGTTATTATCTTATTATCTTATATTATTATTATTACTCTATTAATTCTTAGTCTTTAAATTTTTTTTTTTTTTAAAAAAATTCGATCTATATCATGTTAGTGTATATGTAATCTTTTTATATCATCTTTTCTTTTTCCCCTTCAACTCTTGAGTTGTAATACATGTCCTGAATCTGTCCCTTGAAAGTAGTCACGGCAGAAGAAGAACAAGGAGGAGAGGAAAGAAGAAGAAGAAAACACGGATGACGCCCCGAGGCTTCTTCGTTGACAGGAATAGACTTGCAGCCATGACTAGTTTAAATTAGCAGAGGGCCAATTCATTACTCGGTATTGCATACAACTGGGGTATCTCGCCACATAGACAGTGTGACTTGTCTCGTGTGCTCCCCCCTCGTACGTTATCTACCGTGTACTCGGGATCGCTTATTGCTGCCCCTTCTCTTCTTGCTCATCACCCTGTCCTCGACCTGCTTGTTCATCAGAAGGTACCGACACTGGCTGTAGTGGAGTGGTATCGCTGCACGAGCGAGCAGTGATGGCTGTCGATACTATCGTCGGGCTTGGTTCGGATTCGACGGTCCCCCGGTAAGACGGGGGGGGGGGGGGGGGGGGGTGATGAGATGTCGCAATATGGATTGGATGAGCTGCGACGCTACATCAGCTCTATTACTCTTACCTGAGGAAGAGGAAGGATAGATGATACGACCTGCAAAGCTAGACAGCCAGAGGAGAGGAAAGGAAAGGAAGGAAGACGCTATAACCCCGGAAACAACACTACATGAACCGGTGTTCACACGCACGCACACACACACACACTACGGCGTCGTTCTGCAGGAGGTAATAATAGCGGTCGAGACACGTCAACCAGATGAGTACGCAGCTCGTGCATATAGTGTATACATGTACGGTCTATCTACGGAGTATCATACTATCGTCGTGTGTCTTGACAGCAGCATGTTACGAAGTAACGGTAGTAGGACTATTTTTATATATCCAATACCCCATCTGCATCAAGCTGATGAAGGACGGTTTCAACCACCAGTCAAAAGATGCTCATATCCCCATCCCCCCTGGTAGCTCTGAAGAGGAAGAAGAGGCACAGGTGTTGTTGTCATTACTATTCTGCTATTAAAAAAAATTTCAATTATCATCATCATCATTACAAAATATACGTTGCTGGTGATAATGAAACACACGGTATATACATTTACACCCAGTACCTAGCAATACAGCAATTCAGCAAGGGCATCATTGAACAATGCGATTTCCTGTCTAATCCATGTATAGTGTACTCCGTACCTTTCATAATACCACAGGTGTGGTTGTAAAGGAATCTTGATTACGGAATTTGACAGATGATGGATTAACCCGACCCAACCCAACCCAGCCCAACCCAACCCAGCCCAACCCCCCAACCCCAACCCCAACCCCCTGGCCAGGTCTAAGAAAAGTTAGAGATGCACTCGCACTCGTATTGGTACCATGTCTCGTAGATTGACCGGATCAGACAAATGAAGGGATAGTCTTACCTGTCAGTTACTATACAGGTACACGCTAACACCAGACGAAGCTCAGCGTCGGAGGACCGCAGAGAGGAGAAGGAGAAGAAGAAAAACCGGGCTGGACGACAGGAGTCTAGAATGATGATGACCCGTAATATCGGCAAAAATAAAACAACCTACAAATAGACTGGAATCTCATCATCCTGGGAAATTTGCGGAGTTTGCAATCCTGCCATGGCCACCGTTCACGACGTAAATAATGGGGATACTACGGTGGCACCTTGGCGCACATCCTGCAACAGAACGCAGCAGCCTGGAATCTAGATTTCCTACGACGTCCCTATATAAGATTCCTCACTTGGAATCCTCTCTACCTTGTCATGTGCATTCAGAAGGCAATACACTAGTCAGAGCAGTCATGGTAGCTATTCAAACTCGTCGGCCCCGTAAACATGATTTAATGCAATTTTTTTAAATCACACATATAGAACTAGCTACCATGGTGATATACATATCGTTACTAATAGTAGAGTGTTAATGAACTAGAGTAGCTAAGAGGCATACGTGTAATCTATACATATAATGGGGCTTGATATCTAGCAAAGTAATCTGTATGCATATACCATCCATCTCTCTCTCCTCTCTCTCCCCCCCCCCCCCCC